CGCTGATCCGTGTTTCCGAAGTGAAAAAAAAGCATGGGAAAATCGTTAAAAAGGGGGCTGGACGAGAATGAGACCAGAAGAATGAAGAAGAGTGAGATGCTTGGACGAGCTATGCGTAGGCGTCATTGCGTACGTGTGGGTAAGAAAGATTCATTCACTTGTAAGCATCGAGTCGAGGCGACACAGATTGCAATATTCGCTCTAGGACTCCCACACAATCAGCTGATCACTGAGTATTGAGGCGCTTCTTTACTGCTATTCCTTTATTCTCTGTTCTTTTTGCTGCTGCGATCCCTTATTCAATTTTCTACCCTAAGAGAATCAAAAAGGTGGGCTATTTTTGCTTTACTAGGTTTGTTTGTTAACTTATGCTTATGACTGAATGAATTTTTGCTTACCGTAGTCAGCTATTCGCACCAGGACCCCCACGTAGGCAATGACACCCACTGTATAGCCCGTCCAAACTCCCCATTCTTCACTTTTCTAGTCTCATTCTCGTGTAGCCCCCTTTTTCACAATTTTTCGAAGCCTTTTTCACTTTGGGAAGACCGATTCACGCAGTTTCTTCTCCTTTGTCACACTTTTTCTACTTTATCATCCATTTTTCGTCATAATCTTGATTACCCAAAAATATCGCGAACTGAGCCGAAGTAACGCACCTAGAGCTTTGGATAAATAGTTATTACGTTACACTTCTTAAAACATGCGCATAAAGAATCATCTGATCCTAGAGCAGGTGACAGCGGATTTTCCGCCTCTCACAATCAGTGGAACTGTGATCTTTTCTTAGATGCTGTGATGCGAAGATTAATGTGTATGATGAAATCAATCCAACAAATGCGTCCACTTTGTCCTAGTTGCAATTGCTCAGGGAAAAGGAAACTAATAACTGGGCTTGAGATCAAACAGGAGCAAGGAAACAAAAACCTAGTTCCAAAAGAAAAAAAAAACTCGAGCTCCATGTCAGTATCACACGAGCATTGTGATGCCGTATGCTCACGACCACAAGAAAAACCTTGTGAGGAGGTCCTGTATAATGATGACTAACCTACAGCGTTATACTTGGCAGCGATATAGAGGTTAGCAGAAAAATATTTGGCACTATTCTACTATTACACCCCAAAAACTCAAAATTTTTATTTTCGATGAAACTTCGCCTATAGGGGTAATCCGATGTCCTGATAACGAATATGACCTTCATCTTTGGTGCTATCGCAAGTTGGCGCCAATTTGGCGCCAAGGGTGTTTTCACCAAATTTGCTGAAAACTTGCGTTTAGGGGTTATTTGGGGTCCTGATAACGAATATAACTTTCATTTTTGGCGTTGGCGCCATTTGGCTCCAATTGGCACCAACTGGCGCCAATTTGGCGCCAAATTGGTGCCAATTGGAGCTAAATGGCGCCAACGCCAAAAATGAAAGTTATATTCGTTATCAGGGCATCGGATTACCCTTACAGGCGAAGTTTTATCGAAAATTAAAATTTTGAGTTTTTGGGGGTGTAACAGTAGAATAGTACCAAACATTTTGGTCAAGGGTTGAGTGCAATGGTGGAAACAGCAATATGAGTGCGCACCGATTCGCACTCGTTTGTACCTCCGCAGGAAAGTAATTCAAAGCAGCCACACGGCTATGGCAAAGTACCAGAGATTCCTGCAGCGAAAAGTCTGGCATTTTGCCACGGGCGTGAAGGAGAAAATCTTGAGACCGTACATAACAGCAACATTTAATTAAATTGCATGTCGAAATTCTGCTGCTGAAACAGACGAAGAAAGAACCAGTGTCTGCGTTTCGTGCTCCAGGGGGAAAGGTTGTGTCCGTTTAGTGTCCGCAGTCTGCAGACTCTTCTGAAACGCTCCTTCGTCAGCCAAAGGTTGGGGGGGGGGGGGGGGGGATGTAAATGAAATTATAGTTGGACCAGAGTCAGTTAGGGTTAGATGTTAGTTAGAGTTATTATAAGACCCTCCCATTCCTCAACAAGGAATGAGGAGAGAAAGTGACAGAGTGAAGATCACTGGTAACATCGGAAGAAAATGATGCTAGCCTCTCTTGCAATGCCGATATAAAGCTACATGGAAAACAGACCACTAAAGAATCACTGATGATGTCGTAGGAAAATCGAGTACCCCTCTCCTAGCAACTTCGTCTTCTCCACAAATAGAAGCGAACGTTTGAATGCCTTGAATGGTGCAAGGCCGAACTTTTCTTTAATGGTGCCTTCATGAGGCATCCCTCAGATTGTCCAGTCATTAGTAGTGTCGCAGGGGGGACGGAACATTCACCCAAAACTGAATTGACGCGGTAAATGACGCGGCGAGATTCGTGGCGTTTAGGACGACTTTGGCAACTATCTTTGAGGCGCAATCTTGAAGTAGAGTACATAGATATAATCAGCTGATCCTACCAATCTAGACTATTTCAAATATGGGCCCCAATGGTTGGCCCTAAAGTCGCCACGAATTTTGCCGCGCGATTTGCCACGTCCATCCAGTTTTGGTTGAATGCACCCATACGCGTGTCGCAGTAATGTGAGATGGCTAGTTCCGGGTGGTGGACTTTATATCCGAATTTTCATGACAGGCGGCATTAACTTTACGCTAACTGCGGATAATCACCCTTTGGAAATCAGAACTTCACCTCACACTGCGAGCGACTGTCGTTCGGGTAAAGATTCCGCATCGGCTAGCAACTCCTCACCCGATCTCCGCTCCAGCTTTTTCGAAGAATTGCCGGTGAAAACGTTGTTGGGAGGGGGAGGGGGGCGGCGCCTTTTTGAATCACTGACGACTAGAGCGCAGAGAAGAGGGGTAGCCGGCTTCACTTATTCATAGAGATACTTATTAGCTAACTGAAAGAATATTGTTTTCACCAACTTTAAGAAGGGAAGTTGCTCCAGGGTGGGTGAGATGGTTATCTCCTGCAAAAAGCT